CTGCTGCACTTTTTCCTTGCTTGAAATTGTATACATGCAAGAGCCAAGTACTAATGTTTACAAAATTTACGAAATGGACCGTTGAGAAAAGGGTATATCATACTGCTCAACGTAAGTTCTTAAAATACCATACTTAGTAAAACATAATACGAAACTTATGAGAAAAGTGAAAACTCACAAAGTCATTTCTCCAACTTAATATGTGCGGAATGACTGTGAGCTCGTCGAAATTGATTATCAGCAATATATCTCGAAAACATTCCATGAGCTACAGTTGACAGCCGTTTCGACGGATTTGTAAGAATGTACCAAGCATTTGGGTGCAGCAGCATGTTGCCCACTGTTATCCATGCAGACTGGGCCTATCTGAAATCCACAGAATTTCAAAACTGTAATATCGCTTAGGAGGGCTATGGCATCCGTAATAAATATTATACCCATTCCGCAAGGTAATTTGTGAATGGTCGCTTAATGCCTACCTACCGAAACCTCTGCGATCCCTTTTACACCATCTAGAGATTTGGAAAAATTCGCGAAAAGTTCTATGGGGATGTCTGGTGTTTTGATCACGAATCGCTTTCAGCCCTGTAAGTCATACTGTAGGATGGCCATAGGTACACGGTAGGAAGACGTTATCGCTGATCCACCCAAAACTCCACTATGAGGGTTTATATCGTTAAATATACAACACGTTTCGCATCATAACATCTTACTGTAAAGTTGCAGTGGGATTATAAAAACAGCTTTTTAACATTAGCCCAACCCTTTAATTGGAGGACGAACATTTGATCTTGTTACAGCTACAGTGAGTGTACTTGTTAGTTAAAAACAGTCCATTTAAGCGACCAACCTATAGTTGTAGGACATGATTTTTGTGGTCAGTATGCGCTAAACAAGCCCCTAAGCAACTTTTTAGCCGCTTTCATGATTTTGCTTCTAACCTAGCTAGCATACCCTGACTGTGATCATATCGCGCGGAAAGGGGATGATATTCTGTTTGCCATTTAAATGACTCCGTTGGGCAATGTTTCAGCAAAATTCATTTTATCGGAATGACGCCAAGTCTTAGCCTACTCCATATTTTTTAAACAGGATAATTCGTTTTGCAGGCTGGCTATCTGCATTGCTTTAGCAACGCAGACATTCACCAATATCCGTCTGCAGAAGAGACACTGTTGCTTGTTCCAATTACTTCAGTACGTAAATATGCATTTTTTTGTAGCTGATTTGAAATAATAAGCACGAAGTAATGTATTTAGAGGTCACGAATCTTATATACTTCGCATGCAAATACGCTGCTTCTATCGGCGCGAAATTCTCCTGAAAGTGAAGGTTACGACTTTTATATCACCGCACAAAACTACAGAGCTATGCAGGAGTGGAAGAGGGCCATAGAAATGCAGATTGAAGATTGCGGTAAGTGCTTAAAAAGACTGTTGTGGTAGCTGATAAGAAGAACTAACCTCTTTTTTTTTAAACTTTTACTTACTAATTATCTAAATTGAAACATATTTATAATTTAGCCATCTGGGGCGAGTTCGCCTACCGGAACACGAAGTTAACATTTGAGAAACCGATCGATCCTGTGAAAGAAACAT